CCCCCACGGGAAAAGCTGCTCCCCCTTTTATCCCAGCCTCTCAGCCAATCCCAGCTCAGGGCCCTTCCCGGGCTTTTGCTAACGGCTCTCTTTCAAAACTTTGCTGGGGTTACATCACCCCTCCCACTTCCAACAGGGCTGCTCCCAAACAGCTTCACTTGCCCTCAGAGCCTACAGTGTTCCCTCTGGGACAAACTCGTCTCTGCCAGGCAGCCCTTCCCATTCTGTTCAGGTGGGTCCATTTTTTAAAGGCTGCTACACTCATGTTCAGGAGGGAGCCCCAGTTACCCATAGATTTGTGCTTTGGGGTAGAACGAGTCTACCAACAACATCTGACTCATGGTCAATGTGCACAACAGCTTCAGGACCGTCTGCATCATGCATACTGACTGGCAGCCGAAACTGGTGGAAGAAACCAGCAACACCATGAGCAGCTTTATGTTGTTTGAGTTTGTGAGCAAGGGTTACAAGAAGGGGACCGGGTGCTGCTGCAAAACCTGGGGCTACCTGGGAGACACAAAATCACTGATCGCTGACTCATGGTCAATGTGCACAACAGCTTCAGGACCGTCTGCATCATGCATACTGACTGGCAGCCGAAACTGGTGGAAGAAACCAGCAACACCATGAGCAGCTTTATGTTGTTTGAGTTTGTGAGCAAGGGTTACAAGAAGGGGACCGGGTGCTGCTGCAAAACCTGGGGCTACCTGGGAGACACAAAATCACTGATCGGTGGCAGGCTGAACCCTATACAGTGGTGTGACAACTGGGAGACCTCCCAGTATACGAAATCTCCCCTTAGTCTGGACTGGGTTGAAGTCGCGGGGTCCACCAGAACCTCCTGCTGCCTATTGGCGAATTGGTGAGGTCCCCTCCACCTGAGAGCAAGCCGCGAGAAGACAGGCCTAGGTCTCCCCGTAGAAGGAGGCCTCATACCACCCAGTCGGCAGTTGTACCTGCAGCTCCCCTGGAGGACTCAGACTCTGACTCTGACTGGTGGTACCCTACTGACTTTTACCCAAGCTTAGGACCTGCCACTCCTCAGGGCACAGGGGAGATGCCGCCTGGTGAGACCGAAGGAGAAAACATCGCCACGCCTTTACCTGCCAGTGGGGCAGACTCCTCGAGTGAGAGGGAACCTGAGTCACCAGGGCCGTCACAGAGTCCTGCCCCAGACCATACCCCATGGCCAAGGCGGGAGCTTCGGCCAGTCCGCCGCTTCACCTACGATGCCCCGGGGGTGCCAGGGGAGGTCCCCATCACTGCTCCATGGGCCAGGTAGTCCCCCAGGCTGAGGCCTGCACTTCACCGGGGATGGTGAAGGGTTCCATGGGGGAGTATGTGATGGGCTAGCTGGCAGTGACCTAGCCCAGGGGTTTTGAAAGGGCAAAAGATGATTGGAGGACTTGGGATTCCCTTTCCTCACCAATCAGGCCCCAGAGACTCACTCCTCATGTCCCCTGATTGGCCCTTTGGGTCACCTGGAGGGGGATAAAAGGGGCAGCA